CGTTAATCTATTAAAGAATAAAATAAAATGTAACTTTCAGATAAATATCTTCACAGAAAAAAATATTTACTAGTATTGCCAGATGTTTGAAAATAGATTAAATAATTGCGTATATGGCCATGTCATGAGAGAAAAATCAGATTTAAAAGGAAAATTAGGGCTTGTCCCACAATTCTTGTTATTTGTCAAATAACAATCTAACGTATAAAATATGTGGTGGAAGTATCGGATTTTGGTACTCGATCTGACAGTGACGACACTTTTAAGCTATCTGAGTGTATCAGCCAGCGGTGGGACAGGCCTTAAAGGTTATAAAATACACTAGTAGAGGTAGGCCTAGAAAGAAATGCGTGAAATGTGACATCAAGAAGGGAGTGATGAAACGGAAGATAAATTAACCTGTAGTCAGAAAACCAGTGCAATCCCTTACGGGAGTTGGATAAAGACGGGGAGATAATAATGAATTGCCATATTAAAAATCAATTTGAATAATTAGGGCGATACTAGCGCCACTACGGTGTCAAGTGACGTCAAGTGTCATTGTAGAAGGTTAACAAGGCGTCAATAGTGATTAATTGATACGGATATGTTAAAGTACCCAATCTGTTGAAATCCGGTTTAAGAGGGCATACCTCCCTATGTTTTTTACGTTCTGTTATGACGAAAGTTCAGATGTTACTTACATTTTTGCTAATAAGGTTGCTATTTAAAAAAAATATGATTTCAACTATGCGTCGAATCGACGAATTTTTAAAACAACTGCATGGTGTTATTTTAAGCATCGTTAAGATGAAAGTTAATATTTTAGATTATGTTTTTAAATGTTTATAGAAATTACCTACGCACATAAAATCTCCAATTGTAAAGTATATTCAAACGAGAGTGTCTCCCAGTGAGAGCTGTTATCGGCTAATTCTGTTAGAAAACATTTAAAACTTACACGGATATATAAAATAATGTATAAAATAGAAAAAGAGGGCGCTAGTGAGCTATCTTAATCAGATATTCTTGTCGCTGTATCATCTAATAAATATATTATAGAATAGTTTTAGCATAGATTACCTACGTCTCCGCCCGCGTAAAATTAAAAAAAAATTATAAAAAATATAGCCTATGTTACTAGCCAGTGACGTATTCTTCTAATGGTGAAAGAATTTTTGAAAACTAATCAGTAGTTTTTGAGTTATTCCAATACGTACAAAAATATGGAAATCCAAATTTATATTTGTATAGATTGAAAATAGAAGCCATGAGTTGCTTAAAACACGCGTTTCGTTTGTCACTCTGTCTGAAAAAATTTCAATAAAAAAGTTTTCAGTAATTCAATTTTCCTCCTTTCGTTCTTAGAAGCATTATCTCATAAGATATCTAGCTGACTAATGGAGGCAAATGGCTACCTATTGGTGACACAAAAACGCTTGATTAGAAAAATAAATCTACAACTGATTGAAACAAGCCCGTGAAATTAAATGGGTTTTTCACTGAAATTACCTCATAATCTTAGTCATAACTAGCTTTCGCCCGCGACTCCGTTCGCGTAGAATTGAAATAAAAACAAAACTGAGTAGCCTATGTGTTCTTCCAGACTATCCTCTACGCCTATGCTAAATTTCATCGAAAAAAAATATAATTAACTAGCTTTTGCCCGAGACTCCGTCCGCGTGGAATTAAAAAAAAATTGAGTAGCCTATGTATTCTTTTAGACTATCATCTACATCTTTACCAAATTTCATCGAAATCCGTTCAGCCGTTTAGGCTACAAACTCTAACAAACATCCATCCATCAAAATTTTTGCATTTATAATATTAATATGATTGCAAAAGTATATATATTATTTGTTAGAATTTATCTCCAGAACTGAAAGCAGTTAAAAAGGATGTACATGGATGAAATTTTTATTTTCATGTAAAATATTGTCTGGAAGAACACATAGGTTACTACCAGTATAATCAAGTTTTTTAATTCCTCGCGGTCGGAGTCGGGTGCGTTTGCTATTTCTTTCTATAAATAGAGGTATACAACATAGCTGTATAAAGTTATAAAGAGTAAATTGACAATGATTCTTTTTTTTTTCTCTATATTTAGACACAAATGGTCTTCATTTTCATCGAAATTTTAAAATGTATCTATTTACCAACAATAATGTTATTTCAACTAATTATAAATTATTAACAAACAATAATTATTCCTTGTTATAACACTCTGTTAATTATTCGTATCCCTGAAAGTATTTTCAAGGTCAATCAGAGGTCAATATCGAAAAAATAAAACTTCATTCCAAGCATGAGGCAAATTAAAACTATAAT